CAACCCCAGACTATATAATGGAGCCGTCTATATTTAATACGTTAAAGAGGTGAGCCTAACCTTATGTGTGCTATGGTGCATTGTTATAGGTGAGGTGTTGTCACTTTATATGGAAGTGTGTGTGAAAATGTATAAATGATGATATCGTTTTCCCTTGTACAGTTGTTTGGGGTTTTTAATACAGCTTTCAAACTGTTCTTTTCTAATCCTTTCATCAGATACTTCCAAGCAGGAGGTTCTCCAGAGAATGTTATCCAGCTCCTCTCTGAAAACTACACGGCAGTGGCACAGACTGTAAATTTGTTGGCAGAGTGGCTCATTCAGACAGGTACAGTAAGTGATACAGTATAATTTGGGTCTGTAGTTTTTCTTTTGTCAGAAATATCTGAATTGGTGGCAAATTTGGTCATAATTAGGAAGTGGATCGTTGTAAAATTGTCATCCTGTATCCGTATGTGACTAAATTGTTTATAATAATACATTTATTCTGCTCAGAGGATAAGTGATCCGTTGATGAACATTTTGAAATGCCCACAAAGTGTATTGTAAAGGGTAATGTAGTTGAAACAAACTGCATAAACTGTAGTTTATTTTTGTTTTCATGCACAAGAGCAAGGGTATTGTTACAGAGATGGTATTAGCAGTATTTGGTATTTTGTAGTAGTATTATATAATAGTGAAAAAACAATTACCTTATTACTAGTTACTATTCCTTTTCAGTGGTTAGGTGGAAGGTTCTCATAGGGATGCCTGTATTCTCTGAGACAAGAATTCTGTATTGCCAGTCTGCTTATGAATTCTTCAGCAGCCTCTTTCAAGACATCTTTAGCATTATCTTGTGGTATCTTTTGTCCCCTGGCTACTAATGTTTACAAATTATCAGCGTTGTTATACTCTGATCTCAGAAATGTAGAACTACTTATTACTACTTTGTGTGTTGCGTTGTAGTATACTGTTGAAGCTACTGATAGCCAATATATTAAAAGGATGAACTTTAGTCTGTAGTAAGGTGGGTTTATGCACCAATCCTGGTTATACCTTTTGTGTTTGATATGTGCGTTTTGATGTTGCGCCCAGTAACAGCCTTGTGAGATGACTGACATTGCTGTTTGCATGACTGACGAAGAGAACAAGAGGAAAGGACTAGTGTGACCTGCCTGAGATCCTAAGCAGTCTACATTTAGGACAAAAGATTGAGAATCTCTAAATCTGTTTGTATCAGTGTGGCTTGATAGTAGAACTGATGGCTCTCCTCTCATCTTTTGTGTGTTGGTAAATTTATGAGTAGTTTCTGCTCATGTTGAAAAATTTAAGATGTTGCAGCTCTGTTTGATTGGATTGCATCTGCCAAGTTTTTTGTTCCTTCTATACAGGTGTTGAGCCAGTGCAAGTTCAGGAGACTGTAGAAAACCATTTAAAGAGCTTACTTATCAAGCATTTTGACCCTCGGAAAGCAGATTCCATCTTTACAGAGGAAGGAGAGGTGTGCATGGAATCCGTGTTGCTATCTTTACATGAGTGGATCCTACATAGGTGCCTTCATCTGATGGATTAGTAGATGGTGGGGGAAGGGAAATTGTATCTTCAAAGTTCTTTCGTTAAGAAACAACTGGTTCCAGAAAACTAACTGTATTTCACTGGAGTCCGCAGAGGCTTAGAGAACTTTGAAACTTTGACTGCATCCGCCTTTGTAATCAAGTCCTGTATAACAACTTGCAGGACTCCTGAGAGGTAAAAGGCTTACTTTTAACGACCTTGACAACTGGATTTTCTTACATTTCTCTCTATTGCTCTATTTTTTTCAGACTCCAGCCTGGCTTGAGCAAATGATAGCACATACTACGTGGAGAGATCTCTTTTACAAGTTGGCAGAAGCCCATCCTGATTGTTTAATGCTTAATTTTACTGTGAAGGTAGTATACTCAAGTCTAATAAATGAGAATATCCATAAATGGCTAATTGTTCTGGCATCAAATATTGCCTTCATCCTTTATGTATTCCTACATAATACCACTTATTCAAACATTAGAACACTGCAAGTACATATTGGTGGGAGGACTTGTGTTACAGGTTGCAAGCAGTAAGTGTAGTTTCCCAGTTTGAAGTACTGCTTTTTGAGTTGTTTGTTGGGGTTTTTTTTTGTTTTGTTGGGGGTTTTCTGTTGTAGTTTTGTTTGTTTGTTTTTCTTTGATCTGTATTTGAAAGTTCGAGACTTCTAGTGCAGTGGAACATTTCAGTCAGTTTTGTATGTTTCTGTGACAGAGAAAGAATATTACGATGTATTTTGGTGTGCTCTGAAGTGTTCTTGTATCATTATGGTTTACTTTCTTTTTGCTGTATCTTTATTGGTTTCCTTTTCTGTAGTCTAAAAGACGAATGTGAATTCGAGTAAGTGTATGCAGAGGCAATCTTACATACCCTGTGTGTTCTTCTAGACTGGTTAGGATATCTGAAATAATACAAGTTTTCTGTAATGTTTTTGGTTTTATAGCTTATATCTGACGCTGGGTATCAAGGGGAAATAACCAGTGTTTCAACAGCATGTCAGCAACTGGAAGTATTTTCCAGAGTCTTGCGTACATCTCTGGCAACGATTTTAGATGGAGGAGAAGAAAACCTTGAAAAAAACCTCCCTGAGTTTGCTGTAAGGTTTTTTTGTTTTTCTTTTCCCCTTTTTATGTGGAAAGGGAAACACTGTTTTCCTTTATGGTTAGGATATAAAAATCATCACGGAATTGTAGAGAATCTTGACAGCTTATCAAGCCTTACAAAATCTTATGAAGAGAAAGTATATCTGAATTCAAAAATAGACATTTGTGCTTTTTGATTTGTATCAAAATCAAACATCATTCTGTGATGAAGAATTCCTTGGGTTGCTTACGTGACACTTCTTCTATTTATTAAATGGATTGTAAAAAGGTGAAGGTAGAACTGTTGTCTTGCACACTTAATGCAAGATCTAAAGATCAGTCTAGTCAGTTCCCTGGTAAATTAAAAATAATTCTTTTGTCATGCGTGTCAGTGTGAAAGCTGCCCTCTGAATTGACCCAGCATATGTTCTTTGTTGTGAAATATCATAATGACTTTTGGATGTCTTTATACTTCTCTTATTTTTTGAATATTGCAGAGAAACTAATGAGTCTGAGAGGAAATTCTATCCTACCCAATTTGGGGCATTTAAGAAATAAAGTTCTCAATTTAGCATGGTATCAATGCATAGTGATACTGTGCTTTGCTGTACTTTTCTTCTTGGCTGTTGGGTTTTTGGTTTTCTTGTTTAGTTGTTTGTGGTTTGGGCTTTTTTTTTTCCTTTTGATTAGTAGACTTCAGTGAAATCTTTGCTGTTATATCAATGTAATTACAAAAGCATGTTTCTTGTTGACTGGTAAGATTTTTGATGTGTGCTTTCACAGAAGATGGTGTGCCACGGAGAACATACTTATCTTTTTGCTCAATCTATGATGTCCATATTAGCTCAAGAAGAGCAAGGAGGGTCAGCTGTCAGACGGATTGCTCAGGAGGTTCAGCGATATGCTCATGAGAAGTAAGTGGGAGTTATAATTACTGAAATGTAAGTCACTGGAATTTGTAAACTGCTGTCTTTTGCTCATTCTTCATGACCCTTTAGCTGTAACAGAGCAGTTCTTGTAGCAAGCTTTAATTCGCAGAACAACAGAAAAGTTCAGTGTCTTGTACTGGGAGACCTGAGATAAGAAGAGCAGAGAATGGAAGTTTCTGTCTATTAAAAAAATCCTTTTTATTACTCTACAAACACTTTAAAAACAAGCCAAGGAAATACAGGCCTATTTCCATAATTACCCAGGATAAGGGTTCTGCCCTAAGGCATTACATTCCATAGGATGTTCCCTGTTGACTCAGTGAGGCTAAAACTGAACTGTCTGAATTAAGAAAATAAGTTGCTATGTATATTTGCTCTTCATCTAGAGGCCATGATGCTAGTCAGATCACTTTAGCATTGGGTACTGCAGCTTCCTACCCTCGAGCATGTCAGGCTCTTGGTGCGATGTTGTCCAAAGGAGCGCTGAATCCAGCAGATATCACTGTCCTGTTCAAAATGTTTACAAGCATGGACCCACCTCCGGTAGAACTGGTTAGTAGTTCTTTTTATAATCTCTGAATCTTACTTCTATTACAGTAGCACTCAGAAATATGAGGTCGTCTTGTGCGAAGTGGTGTATCAACACAAAATAGAAGTTAGCGCTCAGACTCATCCCTCTATAACTTTAAGTAATGTCTAAATGTGAAAATACTATTTTGCATTAGCTTATTGATTTTTTTAATCATTTCAAATTGTCTTTTTACGTATAATTAAATTAACTTATTTTAACAGAAAAGAAAAAATAATTTAAAAATCCACCCAGTTTACAGTTTGTTATAAGCATGAATAAATGGCATGCTTCACATTTCCACATTTTTCACTGCCTCCTCCTAACATGGGTTCTTGTAACAAAATGGTGGAATTTAGATACTTTAGCAATATAGTCTGTAACTGTTTCTGGTTTTTTGAGGTGTGTGTCACAAGTTTGGGTCTCTTCAGAAAACTCTCTAATCTACTCCCAAGGGGGAATGTGTTATATCTCATTCTATGCAAGGTATATCAGATGCAAAAACTGTATTTTTAGTCACCTCTCATAATTCTCAGGCTTTATTAAACCATTAATTTTCTTCATAGATTCGAGTACCTGCCTTTCTGGACCTCTTCATGCAGTCATTGTTTAAGCCAGGTGCTAAGATCAACCAGGACCACAAACATAAATATATTCACATACTGGCATATGCAGCTAGTGTAGTGGAGATGTGGAAAAAGGTAATGTTCAGTTCTGTGAATAATATTATTTTTACCTACAGTGGCCTTAGTGTGCCGAAGTAATCTTGTATATTCATAACTCTTGCATTCAAACTTTGCAATTTTTCAGAACAAGAGAGTCAGCATAAATAAGGATGAACTCAAGTCAACTTCGAAAGCCATTGAAACTGTTCACAATCTGTGTTGCAATGAGAACAAAGGAGCATCAGAGTTGGTTGCAGAACTGAGCACTCTCTATCAGTGCATCAGGTGAGCAGAGAGACTGGTCCTAAGCTTCAGTTATTGGAAGGAAAGTATTATTTAGGAGAGGCAGTACTGCTAAAGGGAAATGCCTTTGTAGGCTACCCTGTGAGAACATCCTCACTGTAGAATATGTGGTCTGAAAGCTTTAAAAATCGTATGTCTAACTGCAGTATTTCTCATGAGGATGTAAATTCTGGCTTCCACTGACAACTTGTTCTTTTTGTGTCACGGAACATGCTTTTCTCTGCCATTGAAAAAGGATGACAGATTACTTTGTCTTCCTAGTAAAGCTTTCTTAGGGATAGGTGTGTTCTTTCTTCTCTTAAAAGTATGAAATAGCAGAGAATTGAATAAGCTGGAACAAACTTGGAATGTACATGAATTTTGTTGCCTATTTTTTGCATTTTGTGCTGAGCAGGAATTGTCTTTCTACGAATAGTTTTCCTCCAGCTTACCTCTTTTTTTCTTTTTGTTTTGTTTTTGATGTGCTGGCAACTTTTCAAGTAAAACTCTTTGAGCTTTATTAATTCTGCTGTAAGTTAAACTGAAACTTTAGCAACTATTAGAATAGATTGAAAGTTTTTTGGTTTGTTTTGTTTTTTTTTTTTAATTTACTGGGAGTTTGTTTTAGGGTTGGTTGGGTTTTTGTTTAGATTTTGTTGTGGTGGTGGGGTTTTGTTTTTTTTTTAATGCTCCTGTGCTAAAGTGATCTCTTCTTCTGTAGGTTCCCAGTGGTGGCAATGGGTGTATTAAAGTGGGTGGATTGGACAGTGTCAGAACCACGATACTTCCAGCTGCAGACTGATCACACTCCCGTTCATCTGGCCTTATTGGATGAGGTAAAAGCACATGTAAAATCTTGCTGGGGAGCGAAAAGAGTTTTGATGCTTGTAACTGGAGTTACATCCAATTCATCGAATGCCTGTCATTTGCAGTGTCAGTAAATACACAGAGATGGATCTGTTTCTGCTGGGAGTAATTACTTGCTTCTGTCAGCTCAGACTTATTTACACTAGGAAAACTTAGGCATCAAGGGAAGAAATGGTGGAATAATTTTCTAAAAGAATTTACATCTGGCACTGAACGTCAGTGTAAACTTGTCTAACAGAGTGGTGCATTGTTTTTTAAATTGAAGTCCTGATGATCTTACCTTCCTGTCTTGTTTGCAGATCAGTACATGCCATCAGCTGCTTCATCCCCAAGTTCTACAACTCCTTGTCAAGCTCTTTGAAACAGAACATTCACAGCTTGATGTAATGGAGCAGGTGATTCTCAAAGGATTCATTATTTGTGTTCTTTCATATTAGTTATGCTTGTTCAAGATAACCACTTTTGGTGTCACAGCAGTTTTAAGAGTTTAAATTAGAAATATGGTCATGGTTAAAATGTAACATAGCAGATATTGTGTCAATAAGAATGAGCAATAGAAATTGCACATTTTTGAGAGGAAGTTCTAATCTGTTGGTTCTTCCCCCCCGCTCCCATCCCTGCCATCAGCTGGAATTAAAGAAGACTCTCTTGGATAGAATGGTGCACTTACTCAGTCGAGGATATGTCCTGCCCGTTGTCAGCTATATCCGCAAATGCCTGGAGAAGCTAGATACAGATATCTCTCTCATCAGATACTTTGTTACAGAGGTCAGCAGCAAAAAATTGTGTTTACTAATCTATAGAAACAAACTTTGGTATCAGTTGTATGTGTTTGGATATTAAATCAGCTTGCTTCAGATTAAAAAATATTTCAAGATAAGATCAGATTCTAAGCAATGTATGTAATATCAGTATTCACCAGGATGTGATTTAGTCCTCCTGACTCCTGGAAGTATTAAGGTACTGGATAGAGTACCATAAAAATACCTAATTGATTACTTGTATGGAGAACAAGAGGTCTTAAAAGTGCAACTACTTGTATGCTTTCAAGCCAAGAATATTGTGAATTAAATATTGTCCCTACCACCCACCTAGCTAGAAGAAAATCCAGTTTTGTCTGCTTTTTCAGGTGCTGGATGTGATTGCTCCTCCGTATACCTCAGACTTTGTACAGCTTTTTCTTCCAATCTTGGAGAATGAAAGTATTGCAGGTACTATTAAAACCGAAGGTGAGCATGATCCTGTCACTGAGTTTATAGGTAAGTCACATTTATTTATTGCATGCCTGCTTCCTTAAGTATCTATTACAGTTTGCAAATAATACTTAGGAGGAAGATTGCTAAAAATAGGAATGCTTGCCAGATATTTTCACAGGTAACGTCCCCTTTAGGGGCCTGTGTTTAGCAATTTTCCTTTAATCAAGAATCTCTGGGTAGTAGTGAGGAACTTGAAGACAAATACTGCTTTTTGAGAACTAGCACAGAGTAAGGAAAAGAAGTAGTCTGTCATAATACATGCCTATCATGAAACAAAAACACTTGTCCATACCCTAAAATCCTAATTATTTACATAATGCAGAAATCCACATATTAACAGATAAATCAGAGTAATGTACTGAACACTCTCTTTTTTTTTTCTTTTAAGCTCACTGCAAATCTAATTTTATTATGATGAACTAAGCAGTGGAAAATATCAAGAATGCAGAGCACATGATCACTACTTTGCCATATTCTCCACCAGTAAGGTTCTATAACTGGGCAACACAGAAGCAAAAAAAACCCCAAAACCAACCCAAAAGAAGAAAAAAAAAACCCAACCTGTCAACAAACCCAAAGGGGCATTTGATTGACTTGCCTGTGACCTTGAGCTTCATATTAGAGGATTGTTAATGTACTTTGGAAAATGGAATAATACTGAAGGATTTTCTGTTGTTCCACAAATCAGTATAAATCTGAATATTCTGAAGGGGATAACAGGAGAGAAACATTTATTTTTGAAGAAGTTACTTTGGTTACTTGCAGACTTGGTCACTGATTCTTTGTATAATATACAAAACCTGAAGAATGGGGAAGGTAGTTCCTACTAAAAACACTTTGCAGATAGTTCTCTGAAGATTAAATCTTGAATGCTTTAAGTTTTGATGTTGCAAATTGTGACAAAGGAATTTGTGTGATTAGCTCTGTGCTGCAGGGAAGCCACAATGCCTCTCTCATCTTTGCAATATATTAGAATTTTAAATATCCTACATATATTTACTGCCATGAAAAAAAATGTTGTCTGTAACCCAACTGGAGTTGTAACAAGGTTAGTTTTGTATTAACAGATGAATCCTACTTGAGTGTTATCTTTCAGAATCTATTTTTTGTTAAATAGATGCATCAAATGTTGTTGGTAAGTTTCATTACCATGTCAGAATTCTACTGTTGTCCAAAAAATATGAATGTGTGCAGAAATTTCATTACTGCTTGTTGTGGCTTGCATTTTATACTTCTCTCTACCCTGTCCTGGTTGATGCCAAACAGTGGGGGATACACCCAAGATTATAATTTACCTTTAATAAAGTTTTTTTTCTTTTCCAGAACTTGTTTTCAAAGTGTCACTAAGTGCACTCTTTCTGTTCATTGGGCTGGATTTCTCTTTATGCAGGCAAACACTGTTTGTTTAGAAGTGAGAGGTATAGACAAGCCCATTGTGCTTTTCCTAGCACGTCTGTTTTCTGAAGAACCTGCTTTCTAAGAAACAGTGACACTTTTTAAGTCCAAGTGGGCATACATTCCAGAAGGAAATCACTGTTCTGTTCTGTTCAGTGATTTATGAATAGGAACTCTAAGCTACCATGGTAATTCTTGAGACAGCAGCCAATTGTATAGGTTTGTAGGTCCTTATGAAAAGAAGGAGTGCATATTCCCTTTCCTTAGCTGCTTGTCCCATACATACTCCAGTTAGTTAAAGCACAGCCTGAAAAGGGCAAAAGTTGCATATGCAAAAGCTGTCTGAACTTCCTTGCACATCTTTGACTAGAAGATGTACTATCAATCACTCACTGGTTAAACTTGCATGAAACCTGTTTTTCATAATATTTCAAGTAGAATTAGCATACAAGATTGGCTTTTTGTAGCCCCTGACTTACTTCCTTTGTGGAACTTAACTTACAGAAACATTTCACACTATAAAGCTTCATTTTAGGATGTAGCCCTGTACCATCTTTTGGTGATAATCAAGAGCAGGTTGTTCCCATCTCCCTTGCTAGCTTGCCAGCTGTTTAAACAAGGTAGTAAGATGGCTTCCTCTAAACACTTAAGAGTTCCTCTGGACTTATCCATGTAGATGATTTTTTAACTAGTTAAAACTTCTGTGATGCTGTGATCAGTACTGTCAAACAAATACCATGTTTGTATGTCAGTGGAACTTAAGTTACAAGAGGCACTGCAGCTTGGCAGAATTAATCCTTATTGGCACTATGGAGCCATTTTGCTATGGCAAAGCAAAACGCTGAAGAGCCAGATGGAATTTCGGCCTTTGCCTAAATTTAAATCTGTATTATTACTGCCTTTCAGGTTTAAGAAAGAGGTGAATGGTGCATGAGATAGATATAAACACCTAGTGCTTAGAGCATGATTCTTCTATGTAGGAAGCCAAAATTAGGCCCATATCAATCAACCAGAAAAGTCAGTCTTTGAAGTCTCCTAGCCTACTAGAATATGACCTAACCTCAGGTCTAAAACATGTTCTCAGTCACAATACTAACAACTGCCTTTTGAAACCTAAATGATAAGAATAGCACAACCACCTCAGCTTTATCCTAGATGCTAGCAGCCTTACTCTTTTATGGGTCTTCACCATTCTGCCAAACTTAACTTACCTTCTGATTAGAAGCAGATGACTTTCTTTCACAGATAAAACCAAGGTAACTTGCAGAAACTACCACCTGGGAGGTAGCAGATAATAGAGACAGTTTCTGGAAAGACTTTTCATCTTCCTTTGTACCACTAAAAAGCTTTAACTTACAGGTTTGAGTGATGCATAATTCACAGGTGGGTTTGATTTACGGTAGGTTGTGGAGATTGACATTTAAAAGTGATGTTCTAAAAGAGCTGAATGTCTCTCCTCTCCCTTGCTTGTTGAAGTTGGATACTTCCTTTGTATCTTAATCTCTAGTGTGGATAAAGGTAGTACATGTTGCTTGAACCATCATAGTTCCTGTATAGACTTCATTGCTGACCAGCCTTTTCACAAGGTCCAGCAAAAGCAGTATGACCCTGGGTAAGCTTTGGGTAGCTAGTCTACCACTGAGACTGCTTGTGAGGTATAATAGAAGATGACTGAAAACATGTACTAATAAGCTCATGTAATACACATACAGTCATGTAAGAGAAAAAAGTCCGTTTATTAAATGCAGTTAACAATGCCAGTTAGTAACACTTGATATGGCACTGATTTGCCACTTAGTAACTGGCTCCGTTTTAAGGAAGAGAATTTGCTACCTTTCTTCAAATCAGTGAAGAATTTGGGATTGGGGCCTCTTCAGGAAAAAAATGGCACAGCCAATCACATATTTAAACAGGGAATTTGAATAAAGACAAGACTCATTGAATAACTAAAAGAAGTGTTTAGACTTCCTCTTTTGATCAAAGTAATGCCTGTTATCAGGAATTTTACCAAGAGGCCAAGGAAACAACAGGGGATTTAGTTTTTGAATACATCATGTCCACACTTAGCTTAGTTTTTTCATCTGCATCATTGTGATCTGTCAGTGAATTTGATACAAGCTCTAGACCCCAGTACTGAGTATATTCTTCCTTCCCCATATGTCTACATAATTTATATTTAAAAAATACAGAGCTTTACACACCCAGTTTCTGTGATTAAGTCAATATTTAAATACTGTGATCAAGGCAGACAACTTTTTCATGGGTAAATTATTTTTTAAAAAAGTTTTAAATAACTAAAGGCAACTCTATATTTTACTTTGAAGACCTTATGTGTTGCTATCTGGGCTAATTTTGCAGAACTACTTGATGGCATTGAACTGTGAAAATGTTTTAAACTGCTGGGTTTTTTTATAAAGAAAAAGGCTGTGCTGGGAAGCTTCCCAGCACAAAGTAGTTCCTAAACAGAAAGATGTACAATATAGAATCAAGGAAGTACAGCATCTCCATATGTACAGTCCTCTTCAATAGCAAGATTGTACTCTGCTCCTCTTCCACCTTTATATGCACTTGTCACAATTCTCAGCCACCCTCTTTCACCCTGTAAAGAATTTATTTGCATTATTAGAAATATTAGAAAATATTAACTATAGAAAATGTATGCTATAGTCTGTTCTGTCTTCCACATATGAATGATTTAATCTAAGAATTCACTCAAGATGTAGTATAACACTGGCTTCACCGGGCAACCTTTAAAGGGGCAATCTGCGGATTTACATTACCTTCATCTATTTCAGATATGTGACTTGATTTTTTTGCCTACAACTAACAGTAATTTACAGTTGCTTATAACAGGAGCTGCATGTCCATGGAAGGGTAACATTTGGGGTTGAGTTGACATTACTTAAGTAACTTTGGATATCCTTGTCTTTGGATTAGTTAGGTTTCAGTTTTTAATTGCTAGTCTAGGTCAAAAAGTTTTACTTTTCCTATACTGTCCTTTGCAGCTTCCTGTTTGCAAGTGAAAAACCCCACCTTTCCTCTAAAGTGATTCTGCAAACATGTTTGTCCCCATGTTTCCTTACCCAGGGTTCACCCCATGAGTTACGAACAATCCAGTATTCTGTTCCATTTTCTACACCCCAGCCAGCCACAGATACAATGTGATTGACCACAGGTGAGGTATTGTACTCTGTATAAAGTCCTCCAGTGTAAGCATCCAACTTCTCAGTAGCCATTATGCCACAGCTGTAATAAAACAGAAAGTGTTTTTTATATAAGGGAATCAGGGCAGGAACCTGGCTAAAACACAATTTGTTTTCTTGCATTTTGATTTCGGAGCTCAATTTACTACAAGCTAAAGTCTGCATATTAGTGCAGAGCTGCTAACATATGTTGGAGTGGAGAAGCACACTGCAGTCCCTAGACTGAGCTCCAAGTATTTCAATCCCAATATTAATAGTAGATAAACATTTTCTTTAACATTCAAGATTTTTTTACCTAATTGGTCCATTAGTATAGATTTCTGCCATCATTTTTTCTCTTCCACTGACGGACCCATAGTCAGCAACTTTCCAGAGAGTGTAGTTCTTTATCACATGACATTCTCCAAAAGTGACGCAAGTTCCACACTGATTAAACTTCTTACACTCTACAAAACAGAAGTGAGATTATCACTGCAAGATAATGCTTTTCTCCAAGTGAATTAACAATATGACACTAAGCTTTTGTTTTAAATTAGAGGCAAATATTAATAACTTAAGAGCAATTACTAATATATACTTTCTCTGGTGAACTAAATTCCTTTCTGGAAACCACATTTAAAGTCCCTAAAAATCACTAGTTAACTATTCTTTATTTCATACGCATAAGTGTTTTGAGGAAATGTTTCAGATGTGCTTCTCTGTAGGTACAGAAACTATTCCAGTCACCTATAACCAGACAAAGGTTACATTTCTCCTTTGTTTAGCTTGAGGTGACACTTGTAGCTATTTCAATACATTAGAGGTTGTGTATCACAGACTTAAGAGATTAAGTTAAAACAATTTAGCTGTGCAAACTTGTCTGGGCATGATATAATGCTATGCTGTCTGGCTACAGTGAAGAGACACACACAGGTCTGTAAAGAAAACCTGTTCTATCAGTCAAAGAGCAGGTACTACACTGAAAGGCAGGAACCAGTACACTGAAAACCCAAGAAACTACTTTTTTTAAAATATATATATATTAAGATCTGCTAAACTCAGGATGACACCTTACAGCAAAGCAAATAGGCATCATACTTTGATCCTTAGCTTGGTAGTTGTTGCAGGTCTCATCTGGAATGCCATGGTCATGGGCATACATCCAAACACCTGAGTGGTCTCCACCTTCACAGGATCCTGCACCAGCACAATCAATCACATTCTGAACAGAGAGGTAGGCAGAAGGCCATGCACCTTTTCTCTTTATGTTAATTCGATCTGTAAGGGTAAGAAATTGGATTTTGTTAGTGGAATACATGGGTGGCTACACACTGCAACTAGTTAAAACTGTCTCTCCTTCATCGAACCTGTAACTGCAGGCAACAGTCCTTGTGGTTGGAAAAGCCTGTACTGTCAGCAGTGAGGCACATAGCATGGCCTAACTCAAACCAGCAGGCTGAGTTATTATTGTGGGTTTCCATTAGAAGTTTTTTCCATTAAAAACTCAAAAACATGCAGATGAGTAAGATCTGTTTAAAGCCTTGAAGTGCCCTAGACCTTCAAGTTACAGTTCAAGTCACAGCTGCTGAAAGTTTCCAGATCCGTTTCGTGGCTTTGACAGAAAAAGTTTTCAAATACACATCATAAAACCAGCTCTCACTAGCCTCTTACAGGAGTAAAGATTTATGCGTAAGCCCATGCAGCCCAGGCCTCTGACTCTTGAGAGACAGTCTTCACAAACTCAAAGCAAGGAAAAGCTTTCAAAAGTGTATCCTCACCGTTGTGGTAACATCTCACTGTTATCATGCCATCTCAGACAGGCATTGCTACCCTGCTGCCTTACTTTGTCAGAAACAACTAGCTTGTTTGGCAGAAAAGCTTCCTGATGAGTATTTTATAAACTGCTGCTCACAGTGCATTAGCAGTCTTAACTGATGTCACTGTAGTACTTTTAATCCTATTAGTACTAACAACATTCAACTATACTTGACAGAACTGGGAAGCATTATTGCAGCCTAGTCTTCCAGCAACAAGAGAAGGAATGAATGCTTTAACATTTGCAGCAGTTAAATACACTGATTTTTTTACATCAGTCTTTTATACTTACAAAGATGCACATACTGGCATACCTGCCTGCACAGTTAAGTTTTAACCAAAGTTATATAATAAAAAGTTACTTTTTTTTTAATCCTAGTACTTTACTACATCACGGCAGCCTTCATATGTGTCTGTATTCTTGTACTGCCTAAGAACTGATCCTTCGCGATTCCTGCTATTCCCACTTCTGCAAAATTTCCTCTATTTCTCCTTCACAGTTAATCCTCTTACAGCCTCCCTATGCAAACACCACTTCTGCAGCATGTTGCTCTTGCATGCAAATCATCATGTATTCGCTCTAAAAAGAACACTTCTCCAATTGAAGCAAGCCCCTACTTCCCTTTTCCGAAGAAAAAGGCTGATGGAGAGCTACCTGCTGAAACTAGAATTGTCTGTGGTAGTCAGGTCATTTGAATGACAGGGCTCTTGAAGCTAACACCCTGTGGGCCCTTCCCATGAAAAGTACCTTCTTTCATTTTCTCATAGCCAGGCATCACTGGAGGAGCCCCTTTCTGCTGTAGATGTAGCGCAGCAGGCTGGGGTACCAAAAAAGGGAAGGAGACACGGTAACTGCTTTTGCATCTGCTGCTCCCATCACCCCACCTCCAAGAAGAGTTCTTAGGCCCTAAACAGCGGTTTGGCAGGAGCTACAAATGTATTCCTTCTGCAAACAGCTTTTTCACCATGCCCGTGTTACACCGCATACAAGTCTGAGCGGGTGGTGGGGACAACCTCACTCCGGTTTCTCCATTGAAACTAAACCTCCTTGGCTTCTGCTTGGGAATTCCCTCTGCTCCTGGTCTATTCACAGTCGTCTCAGCCTCGGTTTTTGATGCATTAGTCACCGCAGTGATGTGGCGCCTCTCCTTTACAACAGCTATGCTGCAGGCCGGATATAAACCCCCTTTGCTTACCGACGGTTAGGGCTCGCTGGGGGCCGGCAGCGGGGCGG